ACCCAGCGCCTCACAGATGTTTGCTCAAACATATTTAATTCCATCGTAGTGTCTGTTTCAGACTAGCATACCCAGCTTCAGTGTCCCAAAGCCTCATTTTTTGAGGAAACTAGATAAGAGCGATCTAAGCCTAAGGCAAGGAGAAGGGAAAAATAATAATAAAAATTAGAGAAGATATAAATTAAATCTGAAACAATACAGAAAATCCACAAAACAAAAGGCTGGTTCTTTGGGTGGGAGAGGGAGAGTCAGTAATATTGATAAGCTGCTAGCCAGACTAACCAAGAAGAGAGAAGACAAGAAATATTAATATCAAGAACGAAAGAGGCATGATTATGGCTGGTCCCATGAACATTTAAAGAATAATCAAGGAATACTGAAGCAATTCCATGCCCACAAATTTGATGATTTAAATGAAATGAACCAATTCCTTGAAAGGTACAAACTATCAAAATTTACACAAGGAGAAACAGATAATCTAAATAAGCCTGCATCCATTAAAGAAATTGACTAAATAAGAACATTCCAACAAAGAAAGCACCAGACTCAGATGTTTCACTGGTGAATTCTACCAAACATTTAAGGAAGAAATGATACTGATTCTCTATAGTCTCTTCCAGAAGATAGAAGCAGAGAAAATACTTCCTAACTCCTTCTGTGAGGTCAGCATTATTCTAATACCAAAACCAGACAAAGACATAACAGGAAAGGAAAACGACAGACTAACATCTGTCATGAACATAGATGCAAAAAATCCTCAACAAAACGTCAGCAAATCAAATTCAACAATGTATAAAAAGAAGTATACACCATGATCAAGTAGGATTTATTCCAGGTATGCCAGGCTTATTCAACATATAAACATCAGTCAATATATTTCACCACATCAACAAGCTAAAGAAGAAAATTCAGATGATCATATCAACAGATAAAAAAACAAACAAACTCGACAACATTTGACAAAATCCAACACCCATTAATGATGAAATCTTCCAGCAAACTAGGAATGGGGGGAACTTTTCTAAACTTGATTTTTAAAAGTCTACAAAAAACCTACAGCTGGCATAATTTATAATGGTAAGCAATTCAAAGCTTTGCCACTCAGGTCAGGAACAAGCCAAAGATGTTCCCTCCCGCCTCTCCTTTTCAACATGGTACTGTGAGTCCTAGCTAATGAAAAAAGACAGGAAAAAGAAAGAAATGGTATACAGATTGGGAAGGAAGTAATAAAACTGTCTTTGTTTGCAGATGCCATAATCATCTATGTAGAAAACCCCAAAGAATTTATAAAATATTCCTGAAATTAAGTGTGTATGGCAAGGTTAATATATTAAAACCTCATCTTTGAGTCTTTCCTGATCTCTCTTGGGGAGCCTCAGTAACTCCTCCTCAGACCCTACAAAGTACATGTACAGACCTCTGTTCCAGGGTTTTCCACACTGTGGGGTCATGACCTGCTGACTTGTCAGTTCTCCCTCCCTCTCTCTCTCTCTCTCTCTCTCTCTCTTCCAGGTCCATGAGTGCTAAAGGAAAGGAGAAACGCATACGATACTTTCATTTGGGTCACTTCCCTTTTGAGAAACATTATTTTATGTCAATATTAGGAAATGTCCAAAATCTGTGCTAGGACAATACTTTTTGATTTGATATGTCTATCTTAGGGACAGCAGGCAAACCATCAGAATTCAGCCACCAGATTTATATATGAAAAATAGGTGACATAATATCACATTTGGATTCTAACGTGTCAACACAATGGTTTTTGATATGATTTCATGCTGTTTGGTAAATGGTTGCCAAGTGCCCTATCAGATGAACCGCCAAAGGGCCTGAAGAAGAGCACCATGCTGATGCAAGTGACAGAAATAGGAGCGTGGGATGGTGTGGAGGGGCCTCTCAAGGGGAGCGTGAAAGGTTCAGCCATGAAATCTGTGGGCGCAAGTGGTACGAGGAGAATGGAAGTGTAAGGATGTGAGGTAGCAACTTCATGCACTGAGTAGACAAACCTGTCGGTGTACTCACTGGTTTACCTTTGAAATTCAGAGCAAGGCTGGTGGAGAGGGAAGAGAAGGCCTGCAAGGCAATCATTCCTTTGTGAGTCAGCTACTTGGTAACAGCTTCACCAGTTCCTCTCCTGGTGATTTCAGGTCAAAAGTAGAACAGGGTTATCTCCTTTCCTCCTTTCTGACTCAATCTTGCTTTTGTCCTTTTAACCTAGAATCACCTTTCAACACCTCTGTGCAATACTATTAGGCATAGAAGAAAATGAGTTTACTGCCAAATGAATGGATGATACTTTGGTGCAGTAGCCTGGAACATGTTATTGTAAGACAAAATACATCGCCCCATATCATCTCTACCTGAGGTGAACTCAATAGGCCCTTTGAGGAAGGCGGGGATCTCTTAGTATGTCTAGTAACCAAGTTACTTGGCATATAGCAAGTGTTTCATACATTTTTGAATGAATAAATTTTATCCACTTTTGCCTTATCTGCAACAAATTTAAAAATCAAGACTCATTTTTCATCTGCGAACTAGACCATATCTGAGAAACTTCCTCACACATGCAGTGTATGAACATCCAGAGGACAGAAATTAATCTTATTAACACTCTTTAAAATACAAAGACAATAAATCTGCTGAGCAAGATATGAGTACTCTCCCCACCCAGATATAAATGTTAACCCTAAATGTCCCTCTTGTCTAACATGGATGGTTCTCTAATTTCCATTGGTTGGCTTGTCTGTGGCACACTGCTTGCCTTGTTGGCCTGTATCCATGAGAGTGAACTAAATATGAACCCTTTATTTGTCAGTTTAGAGTGACACAGGTCTGATTCTGGATCTTGTAAGACGATTTGACCCAGTTTAAAAAACTGGATGTAATGAAATAAATGAGTTTTGGGACAGCTTACTCTCTCTTAAACCCGAATTCATCACTTTGAAATGTAAAGAGGACCTCACATCGAGAAGTCACAGAGTCTCTGTAGAGCCCCACTTAAATGTTCCGTTAGCATCAATGAGGATGGGTCGTTAATGGGTCTACACAACATTGATTCATTTAGAGCGTCATGTGTTTGAGAGCTGCTTTGGTGAGGAGCTGTGCTAAACATAGAGATACACACTCCGTGCCCACTGGGCTCACATTAAAGAGAAAAATACGCACTAGGGGTTTACCTCAGTGGGGTGAGGCTTGATATTTTCCAGATGGTGACACCACAAGTGAGTTCAATAGAAATATCTTTAGGAAAAGATGCTTGAATATTAAAGAAGCAATGAATATGCATCAAGCCCTGATCAGCTGCATCTCTACATCTGGGCTGGGAGTGTCTCTCGTCCCTGGCTGCAGATGGGGTGGTCTCCGCTGTCAGTGGGAGGCCCCATTAGATTTCCCATTAGGAAGATTATTCTGGCAGAGCAAATTCTAGAACTGGAACATTTGGCCACAAAAAGATTCAGGATTTTGCTTAGGGGGAAAGAGATGAAAGCAGCAAAGGAGAGATTTTCCTTGGTTGCAGGAGTCAAACTGTATCCATTGCGTGTGAAAGAGCAGGCATTTCCTTCTGAATCTTGGGAAAGGTCAGTAAGTGCAACTGTTAGGAAGCATAAAATGCAATTGGTCAAAAGGAGGATCATGAAATAGCTCAGGAATGAGCTGGCCAAGACTCACTGGTAAGATGGGAGACTATTGGACGGGAACAGAGGGAGTTCTTTAGGGGCAGGGACAGGCCCAATGGCTGCCTTACAATGGGCATTTCATAAATCCACATCTAAAGAAATCAAGGCAATGAGAAGAGTCTCACTACATTATATGCTTTGCCACTCCGTGTACTGCCAAAATATTGAGTTTTGATGTTAAGCACTCTCAGTGAACAGCTGTAGAAAGGTGTATTTGTAAGGTGCTATCAGCAATGCCAGCCCACCTCCCACTCTGAGTTTCCCACTGATAAGGAAAGTACATGGGCTTATTTTCAGTACAAAAGCTGAAAGTAAATTATGCATTTAGTCATTCATGTTAAGAATGCAGATGCTAACTATTCAATCTGTTGCTGTGTAACAAACTACTCCAAACTTTAGACAACTATTGACTTAAACAACAGTTTTATTGTATCTCACATTGCATGGAATTTAAGCAGGCCTTGAGGGGCAATTCTTTTACCCGATGGTGGCATTAACTGGGGTCATGGGGAAGTATTCAGCTGGCAGTCAGGCTGGTCAGGAGGCTCCAAGATGGCTTCATTCACATGCCTGGCACCTTGATGGGGACAGCTGGAGGCTGGGCTCAACTGGACCCTCTCTTTCTCCAGGCAGAGCTGCCAGTTTTCTTCACATTTCGGCCCAGAACTTGCATCACATCACTCATGCTGCATTCTATTGGTCAAGGTGGTCTCAGGCCAGCCCAGATTCAAAGGGAAGGGAAATAGAAAGATTATCAAAGAATTTGTAACCATGTTTAATCAGCACATCAATTAAAACATCATTTCTTTTCCTTTAAAAGCTGGGATTTTCCTACCTAAGTTATAATCTAAATTATATACCACAATGTTTATAAGCATAAGGAATAATTAGCATAATGCCAGATTAATTAGGATTGACAAAAGATTATAAAAACATGAGGCCCTTGAAAAATATAATAAAATATAACAAAAGGGTAATTTTTATTCCTATAATAAAAAAATTGATGAGTACTTAATCTAAAATCCAAATGCCACACCATGGCCTATGAGATCTGGCCCCTGCCTACCTCATCACAGGTTGTGCTCGCTCTCTTATTGTGCTTCAACCACCCTACATTCTTTTAGTTCCTTGATCTCTCCCAGATTTGTCCCATGATAGGGCCTTTGGCATACCTTTCCCCCTATTTTTAATTTTTTTTTCATTGTTGGCTCCTTCTCTATCCTTGGAGAGGCCTTCATTGACAAGCCCATCTAGTTAGTTTCCTCATCCAGCCCTACCATCACGAGTCTTCACTAAGACTGCCCAATTTTGTGCTCTTCACAGTGTTCGGTACAAGTGCCCTTGCTCACCCCACAGGATATAATTCCATGCAGGTAAGAGATTTTCCGTTTAGTCCTTGCTGTGTCCCCTGCACAGTGCCTCACCATAGCAGGTAGTTAATAAGTATTTGTTGAATGAATGAACCTCTGTCTCAGGCAGGCATCCCTGGAAAGTTCTGGCATTACCTGTCAAGAGCTGAGTGGGGAAACTGCCTTTTTGGAATGATGCCACTCATGACTTGGCAGAGACCACCTTGAGCCCTGATCTTAGCAGAACATACTCACTGACCCACAGAAGTTACAGGTGAAAAAGACTAAGGGGAAATGCTATCAGAAAATGTCAAGTTGGATATTTCTAAGCTACACCCAGGGTAAAGCTCCTTCTATACCCATTTCCTATATCCTGCTTATCACCCGAATTCATCCCTGTGTTGCCCTATGGACTTTTAGAGTCTGAGTGACTTGGTGTGATGCTAAAGTGATGGGGAACTATTTTGTAGTTTGACTTTGATATATGGAGTTATCTTTGACTGGAATCAGTTGGACTGTAAGTGAGAGAAGCCTAGCTAGAAAATGTAATAAAATGAATAACACACAATCTCACAGGCATTCAGCACTAGAACACTGGTATCATCTGGCCATTGGGCTCTGGACCAGGAAACAAAGAACCGGGGCTCCTCCCTCCTCCTCTCCTGCCCTGGGTCTCTGTGCCTTGGCTCTGTTCTCCCACTGCTCTCCATAGAGCAGCTTCTGCTGTTTCCTGTGGTTGACCCCTCATGACTTCAACTGGTATATGACTGACTCCAGCTCTCTGACTGCATATGACTTTGGGTCCCTCAATAAGCCCACTCAGTCTGTCTCTAAATGTAAATGGCTACTCAGTCTGTCTCTTGGGAGAAGGATTGGCTCTCCTGGTCCTTAAATTGACTCCCCATTGAGTAGAGCAGCTTCTGCTGTTTCCTGTGGTTGACCCCTCATGACTTCAACTGGTATATGACTGACTCCAGCTCTCTGACTGCATATGACTTTGGGCCCCTCAATAAGCCCACTCAGTCTGTCTCTAAATGTAAATGGCTACTCAGTCTGTCTCTTGGGAGAAGGATTGGCTCTCCTGGTCCTTAAATTGACTCCCCAATGGGTCAGGCGTCTGTCCTTAGTCCAATCAGCTCAGGCCAGATCTCTGAATAAAAGAGGCAGCTGGGGCTGGGGCTGGGGAGGAGGAGTGAGGGCAGAGAGGGAAGTGGGCCAAATAAAACAAAGTTCTCTTGAATGTAACTCTTTTACCATCCCACCTGTAGTTGTTCTGTTAAATCCGGTCTCAGTGATGTCAGAAGAAGAAAGTAAAAATAGCATTACCATCATTTAAGAATAGTTCCTAAATATGGCCCAGATTTAATAAGTCCAATGAAGTCTTAGTTTAAAATAGTAACTCAAATTTAGTAAAGCAATATAATATTCTTTATGATTCAAGCAGGTCCCTCTAGCCTTTTAAAGCTTCTTTGAGATTATTTATTCTAAAATATCTTTAAACTCCCTGGATCACTCAAATGGAAACAGGTCAAATAACATTCCATTTGCCTTAAATATGACATGAACTCTAAGTGACTTTAATGTCTGAATTTTTAATGGAATAGTTTGCATTTGTATATGTATTTGTTCAGGATGCATATAGATTGTACAGTTTTGTAGAGATAACCCAAACCCTAATGATTAATTCTGGTGCTGAGTGTTTTTTTTATGTCTGTTTCTTAAAAATTGCCTTTGAAAAGAATGAAGTCACACCAGAGTTAAACCAGAAAGACACCGCAGACACAGAGCTTGGTGGAGATACAAAGTGGAAGGGTGTCATAATCTCTGCTCCCTAATGATACATTCACAGGAAAAGTAAAGAAAATTATTAAGAAGGAAGACTTTGGTTTGGAAGACTACATAGTAAAATGTGAGCGTGCTTCGCCTGGCTCAAAACAAAACCTTGAGAGTCCACAGCGAGGTGCATGTCCCAGTGCTCACTCATTGCCATGAACAGGAACCACGAGGGAGGGTCCTGAACTCAAATGGCAGCACGCTCATCAAGAATCAACTATGGAAACTCACCGCCAATCATTACACCACCCTCTTGAAACAGGTCTCATGAGTAACCAATACGAGGGGAAGGAGGGAGAACACAGAGAGAAGAGCATGGCTGGTGGGAACACGCTTTGGGGTTACACAGGAGGTTTAAACCCGTTTTGCTACTTGCTGGTTGTATTTTTTGGATAGGCCACTTAGCCCCTAAGTTTTCTTATCTGTAAACTGGGGTCTCTCGGCCTGGCCTGCGCCCTCTCACAATCTGGGACTCCTC